CTCTCTCTCTCTCTCTCTCTCTCTCTCTCTCTCTCTCTCTCTCTCTCTCTCCCGGTCTCTGTCAGTTCATAGAAAAATTGATTTCGTGGAACACATTGGCACCCACCGAAAACGTATTTGAGAACATGTTGGCCCGAGGGAGACACAGACCACTATCTTTCATAAAACTCGCTCATGTGGAAGGAAGGCACAGCCCTCTATATACCCGGGATAACGAAGAAGAAGCAGTCTGGTCTGTCTCCCCTCTTTTTTGTGTGTACGTTACACTCTTGTAACACTTCTAATCTTCGGCTCTTATATGACCTTATTGTGTTGCAAGTGCCGTAAAACGCTTACTAAAACAAGAGACTGGTGACAACGGAAGTAATAAGTCCAGCTTCGACCCCATTCCCGCCTCTGTCAATAGCTAGCGGGTCGAGATTGTCAGAGTGTTATCATCACGTGAAAGTCGGCCAGTAGGGCTAGAATTGATTTCAAGATGTAAAAGTTCATGTTTGCTTGTTAACTCGATAATACATACCTACTCAGTACCGATTTGGTTGTCAGCCACGCCGTTTGTTTGAGGAAAAAGAAACAGTTCGACACTTTAAAGACGGTCATTTAGTGCTGGGGTAGACATGAAACAGGCAGACAAGACAGAAAGAAGAAGAAGAAGAAGAAGAGGAGGAGGAAGAAAAAGAAAAGGAGGAAGAAGAAGAAAAGAAGAAGAAGAAGTAAAAAGAAGAAGAAGAAGACCTACCAGGTGCGCCCTCCAACCACCCGCCAAGTTGCCGTAAACGTTAAAAGTATAACAGTGTAAAGTGTAAAATAATTGGCGGAGTTAATTGAGATTTTTAAATCACTTACTGAATGGGGCACAGGTAATTTCGTTTTTCACGGAGATTTTTTTTCTCTCTCGTTTTTCTCCCTATTGCCATTGTTGCACTCTTTCTTATTGTCAAAAGTCCCAACTGACGTCTGTGGTGCAGCGGTTAAGTGCTTTGTCGTCGCAAACTGAAGATCCGAGTTCAATTCTCGCTTGGGAGTCATTTTTATCAAGTGTCTCTGTCTTTCTGCAAGGACGTTGTATCCCTCTCTGCCGAGGTCAGCTCTGACAAACAGGGTCAAAGCGGCCAGCCCGCAAAATCGTCTGAATGTTGTCG